ATTTTCATTGGATCTATATTCTCATAGACAGATAATGAATGGCCCTTTATTTTGTTGTCATTTAGATCGGACCATGTTCATTGTGAAAGAGCTCTCGGCTTTAGTGGTCCATGATCTGACTCCAATTTGATTGTATGAATGATCGTTGTGGAAATATATATGTTGCCTATCCTCTAGTATATAATCATCGACTTAAATCACGTTAGTCAATAACGGAATAAAATAAGTCAAATGACGAGAATGGACTTTGAATACATATATTTTAGATATAAAGTGAATAGAACAGAGAGGAGGGAAACGATGCGCAGTGGAGATGGCGGGTAAGCCAACTTCCCATTTAACCAAGCGTTGATCAATATTTATAAGCACACAAAAGTAAGTAATGGGATAAGTAGTGTACACACGCCTACGCGCTCATATAAAAACAGTCAAGATTGAAAAGCGCATAATTAACAAGGTTAGAATGTGACTCAAGTAGAATGAATAGATTGAGCTGTCCGAAAGTTACAATAAGGTATGTGGGCTTAATATAATAACAGACACTACAGATCTTATAACAAAAGGAACCATATTTTGTGTCTTAATTTCTTAACAATCAACTAACAGTAGCCAAGGTAGAAAATACCATCAATTCAAGTGGAATATATTATATGTATACTGAAATGAAGGTGCTTTGAAAATGAGATTATTCAGCTGTTTCCGTAAACGATATACCGAATTGGTGTCATATTGTAGTGAACATGACCACCAATGGGGACAATCTAATGTGATTGGCGACATTTACAAAACTAGTTAGTAAAATCTAACAACCATATCGTAAATGGTCAATTTGCAAAATGTCCATCAATTGTCTCGAAATGACTCAGACTTCCTTTGTTCTTGCATTTTCACACAAATTACATTCTGTTTTCATTCGGTCTTCTTGTCTCTCTGCTGCCAGACATTCTGTTCACGACTAACATCATATACTACTTATGTCTACATATAAGTAGCACACACCACAATATAAACTGAAAGATACTAAACTAGATGTTTATTTCACTTTAGACATTTTTCTAACTCACTTTTTCTAGATCATATATATATATAGTACTTACTTTAAATGTATCCTATTTCATATTGTTCTTTACATTTTATAGTTTCATGCAGATTTTTATCACATGTATATGGATTTTGGATGTGATGAAGGTAAACGACGAGTTGAAGAGATAGATCTAAAATATTTTGAAACTGTAAACAAATTACTTCAAGCCACTCGTCTGTTAGTTTTCTCCTAAACCATATATATATAAACAATAATAAATACTGATAATAGTCATTGTCTTTGTATTGAATAAATTTTTCATAAATACACCTATTGTTTTTAAGCCCCCAAATGCCCTGGTACGGCCGAGAGTGAGCACAGTTCGCTCTCCCTCTCGAACTGGTCTCTCATGGCCACGCGTATATAGCCTCTGCCAGGGAGGTCCTATTCACTGCCTTCTCGTGGCGGGGGTGTTGTTTACGAAAATGAAAGGACGAAAAGCGAAACTCCGGCCCTTTAACCGGATTCCGAACCAATGATGCACATGGGCTCCAGTATCCTGACGGAACAAATGGCGTATGAACCAATTATTGATCACCGTCTACCATGAGATTGTATCATCTAACGTTGCTCTATCACCTTGTGGATTAAACTTTTATGTCAAAGGCTCCGGATATGCCCTCCTAAGAAAACCACCTGTTTCGATTTGGGTACCCGAGCAGTATACCAGCCTTCACACATATTAAATGAGATCTGTGTGGCGTATATTATTTTTAACTGATATAATTATATTTGACATTGGAAGTTATTCAATTATCTAGTTTGTCATTACAGGATTTATATTAATACACGTTGTATCAAGTTATGAAGAAGTAAACAGAATAACATGAAATCTCAACAAAAATACTATGAGATCATAGTAGAATCACTTTTATACATTAATAGAACTACTGAAAACAATTACATCAAATAAAACTCTATCACTCAAAACAAACCGTCGACTGAGATGATTGGGCTAAGTGTTAGGTATACCTGAACACCGATTACCACGACGCGCAATGATGAAGGCATAAAAAGAGTGAATAGCAAGTGGAAGCAAATGAAAAAACTTCCTACAACAGAGTTCAACGGAGAATCCTGGTGGACGAGCGATACTCCTCAACGTGGGGTAACAGGAGTAAGTAAGTAGGATCGTGTATAAATAATTAATGAAACCGTGGGCAACAGATACGTTAAAAATCTGATGACGTAGGAGAAGCTAGAGATAGAAAAAGAGTATGTGGTGGAGTATGTGTACTAAGTGCGAAGTATTCAATATGTCATTCAACATGTACAACAAATTTGCTCGTAATGAACTTAACAACTGCTTACATTTGATAACAATCGTTAATCACCTATTAACGATTTCTGTAGACATCTAATAAGGTAGTAACTAATTTCAGACTTCAGCAAAAAACTTGATCACTATGCTGAAGGTCTTATAAAAGTCTAAGGGTCTATGCAAGCGCATACGTCAGTGAATATCAGGATACTTCATTCAATCAATTAGTTTCTGCTGCACAATATAAGTGCTGGAGGCTCGTAATAGGATCTGGACGGAATAGAACCTTTGTTTAAATAATATCGAAATGAACTGTCTGTAACTAATAAAAGATATCCGTTGGGTGACAGTTTTTGTCAGGACATCGCAAGCCGTGATTCGATAATGAACGAATAGTGACATTTGTGTTACGCTAACCTTATTCACTATCGTTGACTATGTGTTGGTCAGGTGGAAACGTGTCCTTGATCTGTCTTGGTTTTTACATGTGAGAGATTAGCCACATAACTTATTGCTTAATGTCAGTATTCATCCATCGGATACATCTGTAGAAGTAAATAAGTCCCCAAAATAGTTCTGGAAGTCGTTTTAAATGTCCGGGAGTACTGTTCGGCCATAAAGTTAGTGGCATCACCGTCTTTGTTCGTCGCGCCATTAGGACCTAGCGGTTGGGAAACTCGAGTTTTTGTCTCGTCGAAGGGAGGCTGCATAACGATATAAGCCTCTTACATTGGGGACAAATTTATCGATAAGCTTTATATGGTACTGAGGCTGGCTTTCTTTTATTGCCTATGTGTATATGTTCCTTATTTGTTCGTATTGCCTGTACGTGCCAGTTCGTTTGTATTCCGCCTAGTAGTGCCATTTGCGGCTTGTCAAAAGAAGAATGCGGTTCTCGATGACTGTAGATTACTTGTAGATTTGGGGGATAATTTGAGGAACAAACTGCTTTGTAGTGCATAATATCGTGTACAGTAAGAAGTCGAAATGAGCATCCACATCAACTTGAGGATGAACTTCCAAATCAAGTAGTTCAAATGGTTTAAATGGTTATGGACGGAATAGAAGGAGCTTTCACTTAACAGGCTTCCGTGTCTAGTAGCAGGGGATCACCAACACCTCCAGGCAAGAACCTAGGTATATTAACGATAAAAGAGAAAAAAGAAATTGGTAAATTATAGTAAGATACTATCCTCAGTCCTTAAGAATAGATCAAGTCGCCTCTTAAAGGACTCCTGGGAAGTTGCTTGGACTAGCTCAGCCGGCAGCGAATCCCGGCATTTGACATTTCTTAAGGAGTAGAAGTTGTGCCTGCAGTTTGTTCTACTATGTTGTATCTCCAATTTCTAGGTGTTACTCCTTAGGTTTGCATTGGGACTAAGCTTAAGTAGGTGTTTAAGAGGATGTCCAGGTGTGTTAAGGATACTGTAAGCCATCAGAAGGTCACCTCTAAGACGCCTATACTCTAATGGGTAAAGATTAAGTGATTAGAGGCGCCCTTCATAAGGTTTAAGTTTGAGTCCCCGAACTGATTTCGTGGCTCGCCGTTGGATACGCTCCAGAGTGTCCTTATCCTTTCGGAGTGTAGGAGGGAATACTATGTCTCCGTACTCTAAATGGGGACGAATTAAACAGTTGAACATTATGTGGAAAGTCTTTCTGTCAGACTGACCAAAAGTGAGCTTCAACTGTACCAGTGCAAGGTTTGCTCGAAAGGCGTTTCTGTCAGTTACCATAAGACTCTAAGTCGTAGGGCACCAGGACTCGTAAATCTTTTTCGACTCGGGATACTACTAGAGAGGAGTTTCCTAAGTTTCAACTGTAGTCTGCGATGTCTCGCAGATGGACTACTTTACACTTTGAAGTGTTAAAGGTAAGTCCGTTATCGTCTGCCCAACTTTGAAGTCAAGTCAGATCCTCCTGAGGTGCCTGTATGTCTGCTTGGTTGCGTATCTCTCTCCAAATTTTTTCACGTCATCGGCAAAAAGTAATAAGTCTGACGATACTTGTTGAGGAAAATCATTTATATAAATCAAGAGGAGAAAAGGTCTTAGTACCGAGCCCTGGTGGACCCCACTAGGACATTCCATAGCCTGTGATAAATCGAAGTTTACCCTGATTTAAAATGTCGATTTTTTTCAGATATGAAACGAGTCAATCAATTAGAGATGGTCTGATACTCAATCGTTTGAGCTTATTGATAAGACATATATGGTTGACCCTATCAAAAACTTTTGAGAAACCAAGGTAAATGAAACCCACCTTCCCCTTGCGATCAAGGATGCTTGTCCATCTGTCCACCGCAGTCGGCAGGTTGGTCATACAGGAGTAACCCTTCCTGAAACCATGCTGCTTGGGTGATAAGAAATTTAAGGATAGTAAATAGTCATGTATACTGTCGTATATCAGGGACTCCATGATTTTTGAAGGTATAGAGAGAAGTGACACTGGTCGGTAGCTTGAAGTTTCGCTGGTCTTTTTTTTCCTAGGGGAGCCAGGAGTAAGAGTGCGACGGCGTAACTGTTACTTGCAAAATTATTATGCTACAAATACAATTTATGTTTTAGCACTTTTAATTTGGACACGAACCTTGAAAAACAAGTAACTACTAATTTCTCTCTATTAAATTCGAATCTCAAAACTATGATAATGGACATTGATGGCGGAAAATTCGAACGATCCCGGTTTAGCCTTGAGGAGTCTGGAAGGCATAGGTTTTATTTTTGCTAATAGCTTCTGCTTCATCTTTTACATGCCGGGATGGACGAGTTGTCTATGTATTTTTCAGCCGGTAATGAGACATCGAAGTCCAAGCTGAATGAAAAGTCAACAAAATCATTCACAAGGCCAACTAGTTTTCATAATGACGCACAACATCGCAAGAGCTTCAGAGGATTTATCAAGAAAAATAAAACTATGGATAACAGCTCAGATAATGCCCACAACCCGTTCCTTAGCTTAAACTCTACTCCCAACAATCTCATATGTGGTAGCTACAGCTGTGGAAGTATCTCTACAAAAATGCCACATATTCTTCCTCCCGAAATAGAAGAGGGGAATATTGAGTACAAAGTAAACAACCGATTTTTGTGTGTTGTTCTGACAACATGTTCAGTACCTAAGCAAATGGTATATGATTAACCGTTCCCGTGTATATGATACCGTTAGGCCTCCAAGTGATTGTTGACAGTATTGTATAAGCGATAAACCTGAACTATAGTGTCAAAGAGCTTGTAGGTGTGTATTTGTTTTGGCCAATGAAAAAACGGTGGTGACTGTATGCCTCGTTATGTCATGGGTCAGTATTCGGATGTCAATTCATGACTATAAAACCCCCAACCCTAACATGCAATCCTAACTCCTAGCACTAATTTACAATCCGATTTCGATATTTGCACCGTATTTTTTTCAGTCTATTGATTTACCAGTATAACTTGACTGAATAAGCTTTGGCTTGACGGGTTCCGCGTTTACTAGCGGTAAACCACTGATGTCTGTAAGTGGGAACTGACGTATATAAAGAAAAAATTAACTTGACCACGAATCAGTCTGATACTCTGAAATCCCAGCGTACGAGCATCCCTTTCAAAGTTGGTACGAAAATAATACGTTTAAACCATTTCCTAATAAAGGAACCTGAAATGAAGTTTTAGCCGGGCTGTATACGAGGTTTGCACCGTTTTGTAGATGTACTAGTCCCGCTTTTCAAAGCTAGGGTCTACATGCTTACGTTGCAATTCAGAACCTCGCTAATTGTTAACTTAGAAGGACTTTTCGACTTATTTTAGCTAAAGGAAAACTATCGAAATAGACTGACTTTTCCAAGCATTTCGTTTGAAGTCCCTAGCAAATATTATTTGCTTTAACAATAGATTAAGTTATTTCACGTCATTTGACCACATAGGTCGACTGAGTCCTTGACTAGTCCTTTCTTAAATACATCTTTGACATTTCTGTCTTCAACATGCACGCGAAGAGATAATTTTGTTGCAATTTCCATACGTCCAGTATGACAGATAAACGCGTCCCTATGAGGTGAGGATTAACCACTGATCCGTTTCAATGATGACTAATAGTGGGGTTTAGCAATTATCATATCTACTGATCTATTTTTGTCTAGCCATTAAATGTCATAATGTGATCAAATACTTTGTGACCTTGTACATCTGTGCCTATATTTCTATCTGCTTACTTATAATTCATACTTCGTCTATTTTCATGTATATGACTCTTAGACATTGCGAGTAAAAAGTAACCATGAATTAACTCATTCACCAGGTAATTGGTTGTGAACTACATTCCATGTGTCAGGATTAACTATACTACTCGGTTACCGGAACCGAGGTATTTGGAGCGGCGTTCGAATCTCAGATTTACTGGCTTCTAGTCGAACCGCCGAACCATAAGACCACCACTGCATTTTTTATAGTCTCCCTGCATAAAAAATATCTGAAGTATTTGCTTCCAAAGTACTTTCGTATTCGACTTATCTCCCGTGACCGCCAACGTGATCATTTGAAAGGTAGTATGGGGGTTTAAAGAAATTCTCTATTTTGTCGCTCATCCTCATTCAATAGAATCAATTAAATGCTATAAAAGCTTGTCTCTGTTCATTATTGAGTCAGTGTGACATGTCACCACACATGCCTAAAGCGAAAATTTTCTCAAAACAAATTTTTGTCTGTATATATTTGCTGCAGTCAGTCATCGTTACCTGTCCGTTAAGCTGGGGCACCCAAACCTGTGTCGATCTGACCTACCCTATCTGCATTAAAACTACTCACTGTAGTAGCTATAAATGACAAGTAGCTCTATTCCAGGAAACCAAAAAGTGTAAAAACTAAATGTCTGGTAGTTGTGTTTATGCTAATAACGTACAACTGTACTAATCTGTACTTAAGTGAAAGTCATTTGTAGCCAGTTATTTAATCATGAATTTTTTCTTACACCCTTCTGTTTCTGTGATCGTTAACTTTCCCTTACATTAATTTCAACTGATTTCTTTTTTATGTAGCGGAAATTAGTTGATCCTACACCAAATCGTTTTGAACAGCTTGTTACTCAAATGAAATGGCGTCTTAATGAAGGTGGAGGCAAAGCCATTTATAAATTAGGTGTGGATGATGATGGTCATGTCAGTGGACTTCGTCCATCTGAGTTAATCAGTTCGTTAACAACACTTGAACGAATGGCAAAGCGTCTAAACTCTACTCTTCATCCTCTCAGAGAGCGTGTTATTGAACCAACAACTATTTCATCAGATAAAGAATGTCGTAAAGCTATTGAAGTGCTTGTTCGTCTAGCGCCGACAACTAATGAAGGTGTAAGTTGAATGTTATATTCAGTTTTATTGTATCAAACTTTTTCCCTGTTATGCAACTCACCGAGTAAATATCCGTGTACTCGGCTTCGGAATACGCTGGGTGTGTGCGCTAATAAATAACCGGTTTTCTAAACCAAAGTAGGTAGGACAGTATTCAAATCTTTGACTAATGGTCAAAAATAAAGTTCTATAGCTACCAGGTCATCTGTTCAGGCCGACCAGGAGTTTTGTTTTACAAAGTCTAATAAATCTATACCAACTTTAATGTGAAAATAATTATGGCCACAAATTAATATCAACTGAAGAATATCAGGGTATTAGACAGTGCCTGCACTGTGGAACATTTTATTTCTCCACTATTTATAGTGTTTTTTTACCAGTCTCATGTTTTATTTCCACTGTTACTCATCTATTACTGTTGATGCAATTATATTTGCTGTCTTCTTTTTGCTCAATACATCAATTTCAAGATTACCTATTTGGGATAATACTAATTTTTACAGACCTATCATAGCTTATTTCTATATCAAAAATAAATTATGGTTATCTTACGGTCTCCAACTTGGGAGTCTGTATCTTTCAATATGGTTCAGCTCAATGGTCTGTAGTTTCATGTATTAATTTTATACTTTAATCTGCTTGTCTCTAACTTTTTCCTAACCAACAGTACACGTTCTAGTAGGCGATGACTAAATTACCCGGTTGAAAGAAATAACACAAACCAACAGCTTCGATCCTCTTCCTCATCTATGGTCATTTGAACTAGTTTAAACTATCTGCCTTTTTACACACCTCAAATTCTTCATTATTTTTATGTGGCCTCAGGTTCTAATCCTATTCTATGTACATTAGTTTACTCTGCTAGGAGGGGACTTTTTCACAGTCTACCATAAAGTCAAGTTCATAGACTTGTTACTTGGTAAAGAGATTGCATTATTGTGTATGATTATCATACTAAATGTTTCTGTAAATTTGCTTATGTAACTAGTGAATATCGTTTCCTTCCCTACTATTTAAATATTAATAACAATAATAGTCATTAAACACATGATTTGTGTGATATGGTTTAACAGCTGATAAAACTACTAATCCAATTGATAATGATTAACATATGAATTAATTTATGAAAATATTAATGGGAATAGTAGAATGATTCTTCTTTTTCTATTGTGTTAGAAATTATTATTTTAGATCCTGGTAATTGTTTCTGTAATACAAAAAAACCCAGTCATATGACAACCGGCCATGATCGCAACGTGATTTAACTTACCTGTTACTTTAATTCATTCTATCTAAAGTCTTTATTCCCTAAGATTCTATCTGGTCCACCTGGGTACTTGGCACCTGTGTTGTTGCGCCACAGGATTGAGCTGCACTGCTCGGTTTATAAAACCTAAGCCTGAGCGATGTCTGGCTCTCCTGTTAAACGGGGTTGAGCTGTACTGTTCGGGTTGTCACGTGAAAGTCTGAACAGTGTCTGGTTCTCCTGAAAACCAATGTAAAATTACCCTGGCCCACAAGGGTATATTATATAACTGAGAACCCCTAAATGCCCTGGTATGGCCGAGAGCGGAGTGGACCCGCCCTCTCTCTCGAAATACTCTCACACGGCCACGCGTATACAGCCTCTGTCAGGGAAGTCCTACTCACTGCCTTCTCGCACCACGAGTGTTGTTTACGAAGTTGAGAGGACGAAAAGCGAATGTCCAGCGCTTTAACCAGATCCCAAACCATTGGTGCACATGGGCTCCAGTATCCTGAAGGAACAAATGGCGTGTGAACCAATCGTTGGTCACCGGCTGCCATGGGGTTGCATCTCCTTACGATGCTCCACTGCCTTGTGGATCAGACCTTTAGGTCGAAGGCTCTGAGTGTGACCCCCTAAGTAAACCACCTGCTTCGGCTTGGGCATCCGGGCAGTATCACATCCCTCACATATATCAAATGAGATTTGTGTGGCGCATATGTATTTGGTGCCTCCTTGTACCAATATTTATGTGTTAAAATAAATAAATATTCTATCACTATCGAAAAGTTTATATATTAGAGAGGAACACTAACTTCAATTCAGATCTATTTATTCTTTGTCTTTCCTGAACTTAGAAAGTATTTTAAATCTTTTATTCTATGAATTTTTTTATTCATTGTGATGTATTTCTTATCTGCCTAATGTTTTTTTAACCGTCATTGATATTACTACTACTGTATTTATTTTGATATTTTCATCTCGTGTTGATGTGGTGTGTCAACTTGAACTTATGCATGTATATACTAGATTTGACGTTGCGTATGGACTGACTGGTTTCTGAGAGATGTTTCACTAACGACTAATGATGATCTAATGAACATAATATGTTTTCTTTAACCAGTCTATTTCCTTACTGATTTTTTTCGGTGGGACTATAATTTATGGACAACATTTTAGCAACGCTAAAATAGTTTTGAAAATGTCCACCTACTAACTAGGACTAAATGAGGGTTATAAAGCAGTGTGAGGAATTGTAATTATGATTTACAGCTGATGGTTAGGGTTAGGAATTAAATTTAGGGTTTTCATCACGAACTGATTTTCGTAACACTATGATGTCTCGGTAGTATTAGCATTGTGTTCTTCAGTACAAATCTAACTCTTAAGAAGATAAAACCAGCATCAATTAATTATTGGCCCAACCACTAGACTCATACTAAGTAATACTACTATTTTTCAGGTACATCAAGAAATTGTTCATTTTCATGTTATCTGTATCTTACCGATCCCTATCTCCTGCACCATATCAATTTCTCTTAACCATGATGAGTATTCGTGATGTATACGAATAAGCTTTTGTTGTATGACGTTAGTTGTATGTTTTAATTGTAAAGCTTTTCATCTTCGTGCTTAGCAACTGTGACAATATATTTTATTAACAATGCAGTCAGCCGGTCACGCAACATAGAGCTTGGCACATATATACATAGGTTCGAATTCCCATGCCCCATTAACACGGAGATGGAATTGTCAGGGCTTATCCCAGACTGGTAGAGGTATTAACAGTATTAGTGTCACTAAAAAAGACTGAGTATCGAGGATACGGTTCGAGAGAAAAAAAATACTTATTAGCGAAATAAATAAACTTATAAGATAATTTAGAAACTTAGAATTTGGGAGAAGATAAAGAGTGAATTCACCTGTGTCATAGAAAATGATTCAAATCCATATCACCCAAAGTCTCTAAACATTGGTTACAATAACGTGACTTCGACGAGGTAGTCTACATCCTTACTTACATGGCTCAGTCTAGGGATTAGTGCATTCATAAACTGATGCCATGTCTTGGTTTGACCCTCTCTAGTTTTCTTCCAACCTACAACACCAGCCACCATCGCGTGTCTATGTAGCTGGTGGATGGGCAAACGTCATACATGTCCTCACCATCTAATCTAATAACCATTATCGGATTTATGTTCTAAACCAATAAACTGAGTCTATTATGTGTATTTTACTGATATTATCTGACTGCTTAAATGTTGACAGTTGGATTGGGAATTTAAATCTATCTCCAATTGTTTGAAAGCGTGTCAACGTCCGGATTGATTATTCACACCTCTGTGCAAATAGCTAAACTAAATGATTTCCACAAGCACAGATCACACATAATATTCCACCCCTCAAAATCAATGCGTTTAAACAACTACATGTGCATCCACTCTTTTTGTTCTCCCAAATTCTAATCTTTTGAATTCTTCATGTCCCTTTGTTTTTTCTCTTTCCAAATTCATTCCACTGGATTATACTCCTTGAATAATATCTTCAAACCCTAATCTTTCCGATTATTGCCCATACTTTTACTACCTGTACCATTACGGGATTTGAATCGACAATTTTGTCTCTGTGCCAGTGTGGTACGGCAACTTGAACTGATGTACGTACGTACAAAGTTCTACGTTGTTACTGACTGACTGACTACAGGCATAGATCCTTGAGCGACTGATATTAAGCTGACACAGATTGGGTAATTAGATCATTTGTAAATTAAATTTAACTGTCTTTCAATTTATAAAAATAAATTGTATGATCGTAAATATTATTATTGCTTAACCTTCATTAGTTGCCTGCGAGAGATAACCGTCCCACACTAAAGTTATTTTATTCTTAAATGATTATCAACCTGTAAATAAGGTACTTTATAATCATGAATTAGTTAAGTATTGCATATAGCACCTTGAAAGAAATAAACTTCAGTGATTCACATTAAATGATCACATTTTTTTCTACACATCATTGAAACAAAAGTAACTTTTCTCGTAGAATTCGTATGTTATGTATGATACACATTAATAATAATAATAATAATAATAATAATAATAATAATAATTATTATTATTATTATTATTATTATTTATAAATGGCATGTAAGAAAACTCGTGATTTCGAATAAAACTTTCACTCACTTATGTAATTATTGCCTTGATTTATTGAATCCAGTGGTATAAACAAATCCCCTTGACACATATATCAATGTGTGATACTTTTTTTCTCCTCTGCTTTGCCAAAGACATCACCATTATTATTATTCTATGATTATTGTTATTACTATTATTTTTCCATGAGAACGTCAAAGTTTTTCTTTTGCTTTTACCCGGTTATATTTAAAGTATTTATTATTCGGTGGCACATGAACTGCATAACGTGTGTACATTTGCTGGTTGCTATTCTGACGTGGTGATCGGGCTTGTCTATCGTGATGATTCAAGCGAGCTATATTGGTTGGAACACATGTTGCTTTACGTCTTACCATGTCAGGTAAGGCAGTTGGCGGAAAACGAGACGCGCGTTTCGTCCTGTTTGGGACTCGTCAGCTGCTACCTACTATCCATCATTGCTTACAAAAAGCTTATGTCATATTTAGTTTGAATAGCTATTAATAAAACATATTATACATTGACATTTTTAAAAATAACATGCAACAATCATACAAGAATTTAGAATGCTAGATTATTAAGTTTGGTGTCCAGTTTGATATAAGGTTCGAATATTGAAAGCTCTAAAAAGTAGTTTGGAGCGCAATTTCAGAAGACTTGGAATAACACTTCGTGAACTGGAATCCATAGTATATGACGAAAAAAGATAAAGTGATGGGAAAAGGGTTGGTAAAAGGAAGTAAAAAGGAAATATGATTATGAACTAGGTGATTTTGAGTCCTGATAGGGGTGTATGAGTGGTTGTCCACGTCGGAAAAAGATACTTCTTTGTGAGATACCTGAAAATAAAACTGTATTGGGGGTAGTTTTGACCAAATGGGAGTCCTAACATAGACCCCAAGGGACAAATGCTTTAGACCGGTTACATATGGCCATGTTTTTAGCTCCGTACTTTTAAGGCTTTACGTCTGGCGAAGGAAATCCATGGGGCAAAGCTAAGCTACATTTACGGTCGGCTTTTCCATTTCCATTTTGAGGAGGTAATATCTTTGAAAAATGGTGGTATTCTGAGGGGAACCTCTCACTCCCATTACATCCATGTGCAATTGAAAGTACGACTCTCCCCTCGAACCTTAAGTTTACTGCTCTTAGTCTTACTTCTCCGCAACAGACCTACTCAGTACAGTAATACTTAAATGGAACAAGTATCTCTTTCACTGTGGAACTCAGCTGAATCATCGTAATATTCGAGCCAGACCACCACGCCAAGGTAGCAGATACAGTCGTTTTATATAGTTTTTAAGATGATATTATCGGGGAAAAAAACATCTTTCCAACTTATCATTCTCCTTTTTTGTTTTGACCCACCTACTCTTTTTTCTGAAATTTTTATAGAAACTTCATATTCACTCTCTGCTAACAAAAAAAAAATCTAAACATATTTTCAGTATGGTTATCATAAATAATTTCTTTTATTAACATTAATCTTAGTAACTATGTTGTGTTTCTTTTTTTTTTTTTCTATTATTATTTAAATTATCTAGTCACCAGATTTATGTGTAGCTTTAGTTGGTGGAATGGATTCAGGCAAATCAACTTTAATTAGTGTATTAACTGATGGTGAATTGGATAATGCTCGTGGTAAAGCACGTTTAAATTTATTTCGTCATTTACATGAAGTACAATCTGGTCGTACAAGTAGTTTAAGTCGTGAATTATTAGGTTTTGATGTAAATGGTAATGTTACTAATTATAAATATGCTGATGGTAGAGTTTATCGACGTTCAACAGAAGAAGTAAGTTGTTCTTTTTTTTTTTAATATTTGTATATTATAAATTTCGTCATTATTATTTCTTCTTTTGTTGATTGGTTGATTGGATAGATTATTAACCAATCAGAATACACACCCACGATCTACTTTTTGATTGGTCTCTCTAACCACATGATTATTTAGAATTTTGTAAAGAAAACTATGCAATACTTAGAAATAATTTCATCATCAGTTATTTCATTCAATTTTATTGGCTTTCACAAAGCTTACCGATGTAAACATCGGATGATAAAATGAAAATTTTGTGCAAATAAACCTTATATATATATATATATATATATATATATACTACTCAAATGTCACTTTGTAAGTGCCGTTTGTTAAGATATCAGGCTCAGTTGATTGCAATCTTTTGTTTAAGTTTAGTTTTGTTCGTTTACGGCTGTCTATTCTCCCTATTTCTGTTTTTATCTTATCATAGATATACAGCTACAAATAGTACTTTCTTTGGTTGGTGTTTTGAGAGTTTGATCTTTTACTTATAAAACACCTCTCATTAAATATGTAAATAACGTAATCCTGTTTGATGAACACCTACAAAGTCCTAAGTCTTGTAAACACACTAAGCGAAAATGTGAAAAATTTCACAATCCATGTATCACCTAAATATGATATGTTGCTTTAAAAATTGATTTTGTGTTCATGTATGGTATCATCTCATATGAAGTAAACGAATTGAAGATATTGGCAAAGCTTATCTTAGGCGTCTGATGTTCTTTGATGCGCCAAAATTTAACTAAATCTTGGCACAACTATATAAATAGCCGTCTAACTTTTATAGAGCGAATCTAGTGTACAATAGTTCACTTTGTATTGCATTACAGATTAGAAACGTTATCTTCGAATATTGAAAGCAAATGTATGTTCCAAGCATTTTATCGTATATTTCTTAGATTAGTTGATCATCTTCGCTGAATACAAAAACTGAATTTAGATGTGGTGTATTGGTTAATTAGTTGATGGAGCTATAAACTTTCATTAAGTGAGATGTTGTTGCTACCTTGACGTGGTGGTCGGGCTTGCCTATCGTGATGAAGCAACCGAGCTATACTGGCTGGAACAACCGTTCCTCAAGGTCCTACCATGCCAGACAGCTCGGTTGAAGAGCGGTAATATTAAAAGCAACAAAGCCAAGGTTCGAAGACGAAGTCGTACTGCTGACTGTACAGAGGTGTGACAGCAGTAAGGTGATTCCTTCAAACAACCAGCATAACAGCGATGCTGCCTTCCCACAAGGAGGGGTAGGGTTAGAAAAGGTGGACCCTAAAAATGAACACCTTGCCTTATCCCATGGATATCCGTCTCCGGCGGTAAGGTCTCAACAAGTACGAAGCTAACACAAAAATTACTCATAAAAAGGTCGTGTGTGACCGACCTCAAGCAGTTATCTCTTGGGCACTGCGGTCACTCTCTCATGTCACTAGGACCACCTCTAACCCAATTTTCTTTTCAGGTACCTCCAGCAGAACCCTTCCACAGTGTGGGCAACCGGGAAGTGATAACCACCCTCATACCTCTAATAGCACTCAAGACCACTGATGTTTCGAATCTGTTACTCATTCCCTACCACCTCATTGTCATGAGTTATTCTTGAAATAGATTATTAAAAAAGATTATCACTTTTCTTCAAATTATACTTGAAGTCTGATCCCTCAATATTTCGTATAGATATATATTTTTACAAAACTGGTTGAATAATAACACATCTACAAAGTTCACCTTTGCTAATTTGAATAAATTAGCACTAATTATCTCTTCAAGGAAAAATTACATCAACTGATATATATATATATATATATATATATATATATATATATATATATAGTGCTTTAGTTTATTCACTGAAAATTCAATCTCGTTATCGTCGATAGAAATCTTCTTGTGATATTTACAAAAATGTCTTTGAATCCTTTTTCAAGTCAGACAATTTTCGTGGCCTATGCAGCCAGTTAGTTATAAGGAACATGATATCTTATACACATTTTCATCGGTTCAAATTACCACATAATATCCACATAGTGCAATGACATCTTTAAAACAATTACCAAAATAGTAATAGTAATAGAAAAGATTATTCATAGATAATTTTGTTTTAAAAAAAAAAAGACTTAAATTCGAAGCTCTTGATGTGAGATATAACAAAGACCGAATGTAGCTGCACCATTTTGAACTGTTCTCAGCCATATCAATCAACGTCTCTAATCAATGATGATAGCGATTATCGTGCAAACCCCAGCCAGGTAGTCTTTGCTTATCCAACACGTCTTTTAGCCACCTCATTCAATCAAAATTCACTACCTCATCAACCGATTCGAAATATTTACGTGAAATTCACCTTATCTACACTAATTTTCTTTTTTTACCTGGAAGCAGTTGAAAATGTAGTGGAAAATGCATAAATGCTGTAGAAATCTATTAATGATTGCCATCAGTGGTACTTAAAGTCAAAACAGTGCTGATCTTTGCATTACTTACTTACATACTTATGCCTAATACTCCCAATTGAGCATAGGTTGCCGACAAGCACTCTCAAACTCACTCTGTCCTCGACCTTTTTTTCTAGTTTTATCCAATTATTGTTCATTCTTCTCATGTCTGTTTCCATTTCTCGGCGTTATGTATTCTTTGATCTTCCTCTCCTCCCTTGGCCTTGAGGATTTTAAGTGAGGGCTTGCCTTGTGACGCAACCGGGTTCTTTCCTCAATATGGGTCCCATCCACTTCCAGCACTTCTTCCTGATTTCTTCCTCCACTGGGATCTGGTTTGTTCTCTCCCATAGTAGGTTGTTGCTAATAGTATCTGGTCAACAGATCCGAAGTATTTTACGTGCAGACAACTGTTAATAAACACCTATATCTTCTGGATGATGACTTTCGTAGTTCTCCAAGTTTCCGCCCCATACAGTAGAACTGTCTTGACATTTGTATTGAAAATGTTGACCTTGGTGTTGGTTAACAGATAGTTGTTTTGAATTCCAGATGTTCTTCAGTTGTATGTATGCTGCTGTTGCTTTGCCAATCCCACACCTTCGTATATGCATCAGATCCACCGTGTCCATCAATAATGCATCCCAGATATGTAAAGGTTTTTATATGCTCCAAATCTTCTCCATCAAGTGTGATTCGATTGGTGCATGCTGTGTCGTGTCGGAAAATCTTGCTTTTCCCTTTGTATAATTATGATCAAGTTTGGTATTTAGTAGTGTTGTTTTATACGTTATATCCGTCTATCAATTAAGGGACGAGTATACTGCGCGGCAGTTCGTTCCGTCCTACTATACGGCTGCGAACACATGGCCTTTAAGAGTAGAAGATACTCGTAAGCTACAAGTATTTGACCACAATTACCTTAGAAATATTGCTGGTATCTGCTGGAATCATCGGGTAAGTAATGGTGAGGTTAGACGCAGGGTATTAGGGAATGATGGTAAATCAGTTGATGAAGTTATGAATCTTCATCGACTGAGATGGTTGGGCTACGTGTTGCGTATGCCTGAACACCGATTACCACGACGCGCAATGCTAACCGGTGGTAGTGATAATTGGAAGAAAGTTAGGGGCGCTCAAACCAAAACGTAGCATCAGTGCTTGAAGTCACTAACTTCTAGTCTGAGCCATGTTGGTAGATGCAGACTACCTGGTTGGGGTCCGCACGCCTATCGTAACCAATGGTTGGAGACTGATGCGGTATGGCAACTTGGACCGATGCATATATATGCCTGGTCTTACGTTGCAGCTGACTGACTGACTGAGTGTTGTTTTATGAAGTTAGTATGCGCCGGGATAATCAAACATAGGGCAAATGATAAGTGAAAGACGCTGGCAGGCACGTTATTGGTCAAGATTTGGCTTCATTTTCCGAGGGAATAGACATGTGCTATTGATTGAAAATATGTCTTTATTTTATGAGTGACACATAGTTACGTTTTTAATTGAGTTGTTCACACACTCTCGATTCAATCGATCAATAAACCCTCGCTCACTCTTGTTTCTTCACTCAAGTTTCTGGTTTGGATACCCATATAATAAGCATATAAATCAGCATTAAACTTGGACATCTGTATAACATAACTCTGTCCAACTTTGTTTTTCATCAATTTGTTTACCAATTATAGCTTTGTGTACTAAGCTTCGAGCCACACTTTAAGCGTGAGAACTAATGAAACTACCTGGCTACCTAAACCGAAGTAAGTCGGATGGGGTTTGAACTTTAATGGCTAAATCCTAAACATTTCGAACATTGACCCATTACTGTCGAAATCTTAGTTCGACTCATAAACATTCTACGTGTAAAGTAAACATAATAACTACTACACTATCAAACCATTAGTGGTTACATCGTTTGAATTGGCTAAAATATGTTAAACTTTTTGTATAAATAAATAAAACATAAACTTTTCATATATCTTTTTTTTTTTTTCTTTTTTTTTCTTTTTAAGGTTGTTCAAATGTCATCTAATTTATTAACTTTACTTGATTTAGCTGGACATTCAAAATATCAACGTACAACATTAGCTGGTATTTCTTGTAATCAACCAATGATAGGAATTTTAGTAATATCTGCAACAATTGGTTTAAGTAGTATAGGATTAGATCATATCCAATTAATACGTTCATTAAATTTACCAATAATAATTGTATTAACAAAAATTGATCAATTATCTAATGGAATAGAACAAATAAAACGTATTAATCTTATTTATCATCAATTAGTATATCAATTTAAACAAATTGATAATGCATGGTCATACAGTAGTAGTAGTAATAGTAGTATACCATCATTACCGAATACAGAATATTCAATTAGGTAATTCTATTGTAATATGTGCATTTTTTTTGTGTGTTTTTTTTTCGTTATTGTTAAAATGTTCTTTTGTACTTTAAAGTGTACTGTCAAAAAGAAAGAGAAAAAAAAGTATTTATAAAGTACTTTTATTCAACAGAATTGTATTCACTCATGATTTGTTTTTTCCGTTAGAAAAACCATAAAGGTTTTAACAACAACAACAATAACCATCGTTTATAAAGGGGATTGTAAAGAGTATTGAATTTGGAAGTAGTTTTACATCATGGATTGTATTTATTAGGATAATCATCAAAGAGTTCTATACTTTATTGATTTTTTTTTATTTTTATTTGAACACATAAATATTGGTACAAGAGGGTACCAAATGTATATGCGCCACACAAAACAATGAGAATTTAAAGAGAAGGGAAAAAAGAACAAGAACGAACAGATTAATGTAAGGTAGTGTAATAATAATAATAATAGTGGGGGAAACGAAAAGGTACAATCAGAAGAAATCTTTCAGTGATAACTTAACTAACGATTAATTTTTCTTTTTTTTTTTTTTTATTTATTTATTTCTTTATGATTACTATTATTATTAATATTCTATCATTAACCTTATTTACTTATCCATTATTTGTTTGGAATTATTCGCCTCTTTACATTTGCATTCTTCACTATCTAATTATTTACACACTTCTTATTACGTAATGATTTTAATGTTTTGTGATAACTACTCCATTTACCCATGTTTGACCTACTATTTCCAATGTTTAACTATTGATAAGACTTTTGTTATCGTATTTTATTATTCCTACCTACTATCAGTACACCTGTCTTCCTACTATCAACTTGTACTTTTATCTATTATGTGTGATGACTTATCCCATTTCATTATAATTACTGACCCAAAATTGCCTTGATTGGTTTAACATTTTCGTATAAATATTACTGTATATTAGAGTAAAGCCTGATGATGATCTAATTGAAAACAATTGTTCGCTTATATGTGTTGTTCTAGTTAAGGAAGAAGCAACCAGTCTTTACGAAGAAAGTAAAAGAAGGTTAGAGCAGGATCGCCACTGGCTTCTATTCTGAGCCATATCTGATAAGGTCTCTAACCACTGTGTTACACCATCTCTCAGACCCTAGCCAGGGAGTCGTGAAAGACCAACACAAGCCAGCCCTTTGCAGCTTTCTTTCATGCCATGACACCATGTCATATACTGACCACCTCTCCGTTTTTTCCAACCAGTCCCAGAGTCGGCAAATAATGCACGACGTGGAATTCTCTGAGACGACATTCGTAGAACATGTCCAAGCCACCGAAGTCGGTGTTTCAAGATGGTGACACCAATTGGATTGTCATCTCTGTGTCCTATACTAGAAAGAAACAACTGTTAAGTACTTCATGGATTCGAATCGGGAACGTGGGTGCACACCACTTAGAAGTCCCACAATAGGATGAGATGGGCGTCCAGTGTTTCCAGATCTTCAGTGGTAGTCTAGCATCAATCGATTCTTCATCTCAATCGATAACTTAATAATCTCCGCAACACTATGTTGATAATAACCATGTGCTCACTAGTGACTAGCTTCGTGAGGGAATTCTCGGAGTTCTAGTGGAGCTAATCCGTGTCAGGTAGAGACAGGTATCTACCTCAGTAAAACGTAGGATGGTCGCGCAATTTCATGAGTTGGTTGAAGTTAGACATTAACATCATTGGATGATGGCCGGCTCAGTGGTCCAGTAGGTTAAGTGTTCGCGCGCCTTATTGAAGTCCCTGAGTTTGAATCCCTCCAGCGGGCCTGTGGACGCTCACTGCCGAGAAGTCCCACTATAGGACTAAACGACCGTCCAATGCTTCCAGGTTTTCAATGGTGGTCTGACATCAATCGCTTCTTCATCTCAATCAATGAATTTCAATAGTTGTCTCGTTCAAAATCAATTTATGATGTAAAACTTCAATGTAAAGTGGCTAACTGCATCACAGGTTTACGTCTCTCCCTCTCTTTCCTTCGAAATTCAACTCAAACTATCATCAAACGTTGTATGTAACATTTCTTGTTTCAAGGCAAGTACACAAACTTTGTTATCCATTTCTTAGTTACACTAACTTAACCTTTAAAAAAAAGAATAGATCTTAGTAATTCACGTTTTTGTACCTAGTAAATTAATAAATCCTTAAATAAGAATAAGACAACTGTTCAATGTTTCATAGTTTTTAGTAATTTTCCAATTAATATATATCAGCCCCTAATGGTGAAAATTACTACAATCTCTTCTCTTCTCTTTACATGATAATTGTATAGTCACTTGTAGGTTACTAGTATTTGATCATATATATCTTCAAAGTATTGCTCACGTATGTTAGGACTATTCAATGACTGATGCTGAAACTAGACTCGGTATTCTTATCAAAAATAACAAGTCGGTTAATGAAGTAATGAATCTTTATTGATTGAGGTGGTTAAGATATAGATTATGTCATTCAACCGCTACCTACCTCAATCATCGATGTTGACTAGTGTAGGAATCATTATTCAGTTATATGTAACATAAAACCTGACGCATATATACGTTAGCTCAAGTTATCACATTAATGAAAGTAATAGCAATATCAGGAGTAATAGAAAATATTAGGCATCCAACAAGAAAGAATACGTTGGCTTGATAAAAATGCTTAACATAATTTTACAAATCAAGATCTAAGAGAAGATAGAAAGTGAATGCATCTGTTTTAACCATTGATTACAATAATGGTATAGAATTAGATTAGAAGAAAACTAAGGGTAAACAAATTAAGGTATAACATCAATACATGAATTCATTGACTATTAAACAGTAGATGCATACTATTTGATTGTAATCATTCCTTCAATCTACTCTTTTTTCTCAATCCATATTCTCTATCTTTAGTTGTTTTTACTTTCATAAATACCAACAACAGATAGCTATCTAGAATAATAGTTTATTTATTAATTATATACATTTACATATTTCTTTTTCTTTGACCTTCCTTTCTTTCTTTCTCTCATTATTATAATCTTGACTTTATCCATATAAACAAAAGCTGATTGTCACATGTATCAAAGAAAAGATCATTTGTTGTTGTTGTTACTGTTGTTGTTGTTGTTGTTTTTTCTTCGAAATGACGTGATCTATCAAATGGAATAGTTGATCTTATTTCCTTTATATTAAAAGAAACTTATTGGAATGTGAATAAATTCTCTCTATCTCTTTCTCATTATGATATACATCAGTCAAATAACTAAAGAAATATTTACATCTATATAAGAGAAAAGTATTTCGTGTATATCTTACTGTAATTACTTACTACTATTTTTATAGTTTTCAATAACAAAAGGGTTTAGCATTTTTTTCTTTAGTGAGTTAGTTTTCTACGGGATGGGGTCTCTAACCCCATGCCAAACCCTCCTCCTTTATCTGGGCTTGGGACCGGCAGTAGCTCCCGGAGGGACTCCAGGCGGAGTGATTAATTGTTAAACTGAACCATCTTGATAGATGTATAGTCTTTCAAATGTAGATTTACACAATGATCGTAATCATTAGTTAAAGAGAGACATTAGATGAAAATGATTTGAAATTAACTGGTGCATAGTAGTTGCATGTAATGTAATATTGGACTGATTATTTATATGAACAAAATAATAATTTTCTTCTAATATCCTAGTCCGCTCTCCCTCTCGAAACGCTCTCACATGGCCACGCGTATATAGCCTCTGCCAGGGAAGTCCTACTCACTGCCTTCTCGGGGCGGGGTGTTGTTTATGAAATTGAGAGAACAAATAGCGAATATCTGACGGTTTAATTGTGTTCGTGGATATGAAGGATCCATCTAGGAGAGTTATCTGGAAAACCCTCATTCCAAACCAATAGTGCACATGGGCTCCAGTATCCTAAGGGAACAAATGGCGTATGAATCAATCGTTGGTCACCGTCTACCATGGGACTGCATCTCCTTAAGATACCCCACTGCCTTGTGGGTCACACCTCTAGGCCAAAGGCTCGGGGTGTGGCCCCCTAAGAAAATCACCTCTTTCGATTTGGGCACCCTGGCAGTATCACCGCCCTCACACATATCAAATGAGATCTGTGTGGCGCATATGTAATTGGTGCCTCCTTGTACCAATATCTATGTGTTAAAATAAATATCCTAGTCCATAGAAAATTGAATTTTAGACGTTCGGCTGCTTAATGTAAGTTGATTTCTCAGAAGAGAAATAGTCAGAAATTCACCTTTACAAATATATTATTTTCATTGTTTAAATCGCGAACTGATCTTAGATAGATCACCATTGAAAACATGAAAGCACTACACAACCTTTTCGTCCAAATATGTGACTCCTCATTAGTGTACACTCACGATCCTGTATCTGGAATGCGACTCAAGATCTTCGGTTTCGCTCGCAAACACAACCTCTAAACGTCTGTGGTATGATTAGGTGTTCACATGCAAGACCGAAGGTCTTCAGTCCGATTGCAGCGCATAGAGTCGTGGTTATACATTGTTGAAGAGTTCCATATTTGGACGAAACGCCCGTGTAGTGTTTCCATTTTACCAATCATGATCTGTCTAAGATCACTTCATGATTTCAACTATGAATATACTACCTTCTATACTACTAATAAAAATGTATTATTATCATTCCTATTATATTCTTTCATTGTTAAATTTTCTTTTCCCTCAAAATTTTATCTTTAATAGAGGAGAATTCAATGATGATTATTTTATGCCACCATTTTTTCCTGTTTCATCTGTCACTGGTCAAGGTATTGATAATTTAATGCATTTTTTAAGTCGTCTAAGTTGTTTAAATCAATCATCAATACCACCAGCCTTATCCATCTCATCATCATCACCCCCGACAACAACAACAAAGACAACAATCAATTTATTTGAATCTTCTGATCGTCGAAATCCAGATCATCATCTTCAACAACCACAACAACATCAACAACAGAAATCATTAGAATTTAATAAATTTTCCAATGAAAATTATATTCAATTAATATTTAATAAAATAAATAAACAAATGAAAATTATTAAAACTTATCGTGATTTTAATGGTACATTATTTTGGATTAATCAAGTATATACACAAATACCAGGAGTTTCTAATCCGGTGATAGTTGGACGTGTACAACTTGGTCAATTATTAAATAATCAAATATTATGGCTTGGACCAGATCAAGTAAATTTATATGAATTATAATGAATAATTTATTATTCATAATTATTATTTATTTATTTATTTGAACACAAATATTGGTATAAGGAGGCACCAATTACATATGCGCCACACAAATCTCATTTGATATGTGTGAGGTCTTGAGTGCTGTTAGAGGTATGAGGGCGGTTATCACTTCCCGGTTGCCCACACTCTCTGTCTTCCTTAAATTAAGAGATTAAAATCGCTTCATATCTGTCTAGGAACTAATTCTTTCTTCCTTTACTATCTCCTTATACACAATCTTTCTTCTATATATTACCACCACTGAATTAACTACTCCTATGAATCCGGTGTTCATCTTGTTGTGCTAATGCGGTATGGCAACTTGGACCGATGCATATACGTGTCTGGTCCTACGTTGCAGCTGACTGACTGACTGATTTGTGTGAGGGATGTGATACTGCCCGGATGCCCAAACCAAAGCAGGTGGTTTTCTTAGAGGACCACACCCCGAACCTTCGACCTGAACGTCTGACCCACAAGTCAGTGGAGCAATGTCAGGAGATACACCCCCATGGTAGACGATGACCAACGATTGATTCATACGCTATTTGTTCCTTGAGGATACTGGAGCACATGTGCACCATTGGTTTGGGATCTGGTTAAATCGCCGGACATTCGCTTTTCATCCTCTCATTTTCGTAAATAACAGTAATGCCACGAGAAGGCAGTGAATAGGACTTCCCTGGTAGAGGCTATATACACGTGGCCATGTGAAAGCGTTTCGGGAGGGAGAGTGGACTCTTCCCACTCTCGGCCGTACCAGGGCATTATTATTGTATAATTGAATGAGATACAAAATTTTACTTCAGAGATTGGGCCCCCAAATGCCCTGGTACGGCCGAGAGTGGGGAGAGTCCGCTCTCCTTCTCCAAATGCTCTCACATGGCCACGCGTATATAGCCTCTGCCAGGGAAGTCCTACTCACTGCCTTCTCACACACCAGGGGTGTTGTTTACGAAAATGAGAGGACGAAAAGCGAATGTCCGGCGCCTTAACCGGATCCCAAATCAATGGTGCACATGGGCTCCAGTATCCTGAAGGAACAAATGACGTATGAACCAATCGTTGGTCACCGGCTACCATGGGACTGCATCTCCTTACGATGCTCCACTGCCTTGTGGGTTAAACCTTTAGGTCAAAGGATCGGAGTGTGGCCTCCTAAGAAAACCACCTGCTTCGGTTTGGGCACCCTGGTAGTATCACAGCCCTCACACATATCAATTGAGATTTGTGTGGCGCATATGTATTTGGTCCGTTTTTGTACCAATACTTATGTGTTAAAATAAATATAAATAAATTCAGAGATTGGTGTATGTAATTCCTCAGATGGATCATAGAGATTAAAGTAGTTGAATGGTTCTTGAAAGTTTCTGGAAGTCTGATGCATTGACTTTTACACCGCCTATAGCATAGGCAAGATATTTGTCTATTAATTAAATGATAAGTATACTACTCAGCAGTTTGTTGTGTTCTGCTCTATACTTGTGAAGTATAATCTTTAAACATAGAGAGTATCCGTAACTAAAGTAGTTAAATGTTTCTTGGAAGTTTCGTTAGTTCGGGTGAATTAACTTTTACCAACTTGTGCCACTTATAACATAAGCAAGATATTCGTCTATCAATCAAAGGATAAGTATACTGCTCAGCAGGTTGTCGTGTTCTGTTTTATGCTTGTGAAGTATGATCTTTAAAAATAGATGTTATCTGTAACTTACCAGTATTTGATAACAGGATACTTTTGAATTATCAGTCGTGCATATTGAGACTACGAATTGATTAGTACTGAAATTAAATTTAAGGTAATAAATAAGACTATCAAATTGATTGATAACATAATGATGTGAGTTTTGATCGACTGAGGAAGCTGGAGCATGTGTTACTTATGTCTAACCACTGTCTACCTCAACAGGCGATATTGACTGGAGTATCAATAGGTTGGAAGAAAGCGAAAGACACCAAAACTAAAGAGTGTCATCAATCTGTGAAATCATTGAACATCGATCTGAGCCATGTTGGTTTAATGCCCACGCAATAATTGCCACCCATGGTTGAGATGACTCAGATTCATTCATTGTTTGTCTACTTTTGTGTTCAGAATTTCAAAACTATTTTATTTTTTCTTCTCGAATGACATCTGTATTTAATCACTTTTATGATCACTGACACTATTTCTCTAGTATTCATCCTAATAATTGTTGATTTGGTGTGTTATCTTGAACCAATTCACATATGTACCAGGTTTTACGTTGCTTATGGCAGTGAAACATGACTGGTAAGAGTAGAGGATATTTGTAGGTTACTAGTATTCGATCATAGGCGTCTTCGAAATATTGCTCGTATACCCTGGGACCATCAATTAAGTAACGCAGTTGTTAGGAAACGGGTACTACGTAAGGATGGCAAATCAATTGATGAAGTAGTGAAACTTCATCAGTTGAGATGGCTGGGACATGTGTTACGTATGCCCGACCACTGACTACCCCGACGTGCGATGTTTTATAGTGTAGAACACCGCCATACTTATCAAAGGCCAACAATCGTAGTGTTTCTTGATATCAAGGCTGCTTTCGATTCGTTGGACAGAACTGTTCTCTGGGATTGTCTATTGAAGAGGGGTGTGCCTGAGAAGTTTATTAACATCCTAAAAGCCTTATATACAAACACCTCAGGTAGAGTGAGGGCATACAACCACCTTTCTCCACTATTCCATTCAAGCAGTGGAGTTAGGCAGGGTTGCCCAATCTCACCATTCCTCTTCAACTTTGCCATCGATGACATTCTGGAAACAGCTCTGACGGATGTAAGTAATGGTGGTGTGGATCTGTTGCCTGGAGAAAGACTTCTCGACCTTGAGTATGCGGATGATATTGTCTTACTGTGCGAGAATGCCCAAGCCATGCAATCCGCACTTAATCAGTTGGCAATCAGTGTCCGTAGGTATGGTATGTGCTTTGCACCTTCGAAGTGCAAAGTACTTCTACAAGACTGGCAGGATTCTAATCCTGTACTCACTCTGGATGGTGAGCAGATAGAAGTAGTCGAGAAGTTCGTGTATCTAGGTAGCTGCATAAGTGCTGGTGGTGGCGTGAGTGATGAGATCAATGCACGTATAGTGAAAGCCAGAGCGGCTTATGCCAATCTGGGCCATCTTTGGCGCCTTCGTGATGTTAGTCTGGCTGTAAAAGGTCGGATCTACAACGCGACGGTGAGAGCAGTTTTGCTCTATGCTTGTGAAACCTGGCCTCTCCGAGTTGAGGATGTTAGACGACTCTCTGTGTTCGATCATCGTTGCCTCCGAAGGATTGCTGGCATCCAGTGGCAACACCATGTCAGCAATGCAGAGGTTCGGCATCGAGTGTTCGGTCACAGAGACGATAATGAAATTGATGTCACCATCTTGAAACACCGACTTCGGTGGCTTGGACATGTTCTACGAATGTCGTCCCAGAGAATTCCTCGTCGTGCATTATTTGCCGACTCTGGGACTGGTTGGAAAAAGCGGAGAGGTGGTCAGTATATGACATGGTGTCATGGCATGAAAGAAAGCTGCAAAGGGCTGGCTTGTGTTGGTCTTTCACGACTCCCTGGCTAGGGTCTGAGAGATGGTGTAACACAGTGGTTAGAGACCTTATCAGATATGGCTCAGAATAGAAGCCAGTGGCGATCCTGCTCTAACCTTCTTTTACTTTCTTCGTAAAGACTGGTTGCTTCTTCCTTAACTGAAAGATCTGTTCTGATTGTACCTTTCCGTTTCCCCCACCATTGTTCTCTCTCTCTCTCTCTTCTTTTTTTTATAATTCCCCACGTTCATTACTTTTTTTTTTCCTCTCTTTTCTCCTTCTCTTCTAATTATCACTGTTTTGTGTGGCGCATATATATTTGGTGCCCCCCTGTACCAATATTTATGTGTTCAAATAAATAAAAATAAATAAAATAAATAGTGTAGGAATAGGTTGGAAGAAAGCTAGGGGCGGCTAGATCAGAACATGTCACAAACTCATGAAGTCACTGGCAAGTGGACTAAGTCATGTTGGTAGGTGTAGACTACCTGATTTGGATCCGTGAGACGATACCAACCGATGGTTAGAGAACCTGAATGACATGGCTCAAAATCGTTTGCAATGTCACAGGTGCATCCATTCTTTGTGTTCTCCCGAATTCTAATCTTCTGAATTCTTCATGTCCCTTTCTTTTCTCTTTCCAAATTTGCTTCACTGGATTATACTCCTTGAATAACATCTTCAAACTCTAATATTTCCGATTACTGCCTATACTTTTACTACCTCTACCACTACGGGATTTGAATCGATAACTGAATCTCTGTACTAATGTGGTATGGCAACTCGAAGTGACGTACGTACGAAATTCTACGTTGTTACTGACTGACTGACAAACAAGGCTCTTTTACTTTATCTTCTTGACGTAAAATTGTCCCCTTCTTTTTCTTTTTTTTTGTAGTTTGGTGATTTCTATCCAGTTCAAATTGTTAGTTTAATGCATAATCGTCAAGTACATGATATTGTGTACGCTGGACAGTCAGCATCAATGGAGGTATATTTTTTACCAAAATCATGGAATAGTATGAATGATAAACAACGTCAAAGCATCTTACATAGTATATCGTCATCCACTTCACTGTCATTAACATCATCTTCTTACAGAACAATGAATGATCATAAAAAGTCATTTTCATTATTCGGTAATAATAATAATGACAATATTTGTAATGATGATGATGATGATAACTGTACTGGAAATGAAGAGAATATTCCACATAATAATAAAAAGAAGAATAGTATCAACAGTCTATCATCATCACCATCAGATATTTATCAATTTTATTCACCAATAAAAATACGTCGTGGAATGATTCTTCTCACTTATCCAATGTTATTAACTGCATATTCATTGTTTAAAACATCATCACCTGGATTATTACCATGTACCATCGATTCTTCACCACTCTCATCACCATGTGAATTTATTTGGAATGAACAATTAAAATCTAAACATTGTATTAATTTCACTGTGGTATGGACAGTTAAATTAAAACTAATTCGTCGTCTACCTATAGTATCTTTTAAATTAGGCAATCCACCGGTAATTTTAACACCAATTCCATCAATTGGACAACGTGTAAGTATTTATGCTGGATGTGTTTGTCAAACTGGTGTTGTACTAGAAACGATACATCAATGTAAACATGAACAAGAAATGCAACAGAATAACTTGAAAGATTATATGATGAATAATGAGGTTTGTAAATTATTATTATTCCAATTGATAAATCATTTCTTTTTGTTGTTTTTTTTTTGTTCGAGATAGGTAACATAGAACTTTAACTGAGTGATACTGACTTATTTACTTACGCCTATTACCCCTCGTGGCAGAGCATAGGTCGCCCACCAGGATTCTCTATCGAACTCTGTCCTGTTTGATAGGCGGATGCTTAAAATATTGAGTTTCACATAGGTTAACAGAGGTAACAACTTACTTGCTTACTCTTGTTACTCCTCGCGAAGGAGTATAGGCCTCTCACCAACATTCTTCATCCAACCCTGTCCTGGACAATCCTTTCCAGTTGTTATTCATCCTTTTCATATCTGCTTCTATTTCCCAACGCAATGTGTTCTTTGGCCTTCCTCTTTTCCGTTTCCCTTCAGGATTCCAAGTTAGGGTTTGCCTCGTGATGCAGTTTGATGATTTGCGTAATGTATGTCCTATCCATTTCTACCGTCGTTTCCTAATTTTCTCCTCAATTGGAAGCTGGTTTGTTCTCTCCTACAGTAGGCTGAGACGTTACATCATTAGATTATAAAATCAATGACTGTTGAACTCATCTGTATTGGTAAATATATACTATCTGCGTGGAAGGAGTTTACACCATCAGTGGTTATTTAGACGTTGAGTGACATAATCCAGAGTCAGTAGCAGTGACACAGTAGTTATCACTGTTTATCTTCCTCTGCATATTGAGTTTTGTTAATCTTCTATACATATATTCTTTTTAATCTATATCCTTCAGTGTTCATTCTTTTTATTATAATTGATTATGCTATTATTTCGACTACCTTGCTACTGATTGTTCACTGAGTAGTGACCAATTTCATGTATGTTAAGTTCTTAGTGCTGATTGAATTTTACCGATAGTGTTGCAATGTGGTCACTAGTCTAAGTAACCTGAGATTGCGTGCGCTATCCTGAGATGTACGGTTGTGTTTTGAGATAGTGGACAGAAAACCCTTGAGTTAAGTTTTGTGCTATTTGAAGCCCGGCAACAAGGTGTACCTGTAATCTTAAAGGAACTGATGTTCCTTGGCAGATCCGATCCTATGTCACCCAGTTTTGTTATCACTGAGCTATTCATGCCGCAAATGACCTCCGGCGGGATTACAATGCAAATAAAACCCTAGATACAGGGTTTCATGTCAATTATCTCCAACTGCTAATTTTGCTACTCACTCTGTCAACTTCATCTCATCGCGCTAATGTGTGATATTGTATTTTGAGTTCATGCGAAATCTATACCATGTCGATTATTGTTTTGGAAATCTACTACGATACATGACACAATACTCGTTTTCTTACTAAAACCATAAATAGTACACTAATCGATAGATAAAGTTCAGTAATACGTTTTGGCCAATGGATAACTCTTCATGAAACAATTATTCTCACAAACCTCTTTGATAAACTGAATTCCAAAAGATAATATGCTTGGTCAACAAACAAGGTTTTCTTTATTCACTTACTGCATAACAATTAACGTGATTTAATAATAAAAATATTTTTGTTATATCCCAATAAGTAGAAAAATTATATTTCTGACGTTTCGTGAGCTTATTTATTTATTTAAACACATGAACATTGGTACAAAAAGGCACCAAATAGATAAGCGCCATATAAATCATTCGATTTTGTGAGAGCTGAGATACAGTCCTGGTGCCCAAACCGAAGCAGGTGGTTTTCGTGGGTGGGCACACCCTGAGCCTTTGATCTAAAAGTCTGACCCACAAGGCAGTGGAACATCGTAAGGAGACGCAGACCCATGTTAGACAGTGACCAACGATTGATTCATGCGCCATTTGTTCCCTCAGGATACTGGAGCCCATGTGCACCATTGGTTTGGAACCAGGGTTTTACAACTAACTGCCCTAGATGGATCCTTCATATCCACAAGCCCGGTTAAAGCGTCAGACATTCGCTTTTCATCCTCTCAATTTCGTAAACAATACCCCCATCACGAGAAGGTAGTGAGTAGGACTTCCCTGACAGTGGCTGTATGCACGTGACCATGTGAGAGAATTTCGGGAGAGAGAGAGAGAGAGTTGACTCTCCGCACTCTCGGCCATACCAGGGCAAGTCACTTCTTCATAGTAAATTCATTTATATATTTACTCTGAAGAAGTGGTTAACACTAAGTCACGAAATGTCAGAAATACAATTTTGCTACTCGTTGATATATATATATATATATATATATATATATATATATATATATATATCGTTAACTTCTTACCCAATGCTCAATTTATTTGGAACTATTAAGTCCAACCTTGGCATTACTACCTACAAAATAAACGTGATTATATTTTATTTAATAAAACATACAATTGAATAAGCTTTGTCATGGGATCCACTTTCTCAGTGGAATTATCGTCTGACTATAAGCCATAATTCTTGCCAATGATTGTCGGCTTAATAAATGTGTTGCAGGAGGAAAAAAAATGAAATCACAATTAATCTATAACAGTAACTTTACCTTCTCATTTTACATAACAGCTGATACTACTTGTGATATATTATTACTACTACCAATACTCTTACGCCTACCTATATAACCCCAATCATATGATTGTAACAGATGACGGCGAGTTATACTGTTGTTGTTGTTTATTCCAATACATTGCAACTAAATTTCCCTCTTCAGTCATATGTTCTTATAGACACATTTAAACTTATTATGCAAATTAACTTTTATACTTAAATAGACACACTCCATTCTTTATATCAGTTAGTCAAGTTGATCTCAGGTGTTGTTAAAGGTACAAGGATATAGTTGCCACTTCTCAATTCCCCACACCATGAAACGGTAATTCTTCTCAATAAACTTGAAAACGAACCTGGGTTTGAAGTGATCTTCACGACCTGGTATAGGAACCAGAATGCTCAAGGGATCTTATTTTGTTTTTATTTACTTATTTATTTGAACACAAAAGTATTGGTACAAGTGGGCACCATATATAAATGCGCCACATAAATTTTCAATTTATTTGTGTGTGCGCTGTGATACTGCCCGGTTGCCCAGACCGAAGCAGGTGGTTTCCATAGGGGGCCACATCAGATACTAACCATCCCCTTCACTCATATCTTTCTCCTTGTATATCTTCTGGTAGAACGAGACGAAATTACATTAAAATCCAAGCACGCAAGCAAAAATATAAACGTTCTATAGTACCTTACCTAGCAAATGTACTCTGTGACGAACAGGTTGTTAGAGTTAACCTAGTCAATAATCTGCATTCTTAACATGACTCTAATTGAAAAGTTGTACAGTTTTTTTTTTCAGATTTTTTTTAACCGTTTTTTTTTCTTTTGTTCTGTAAAAGAAACTTGTTGAAATATTTTTTGTGCTGAGAATTCTATATTGTACCAAAATATAATATTGAATAAAGCCATAAATAAATAAAAATAAAAAAAATAAAATCCCGAGCTTTTGACCTAGAGGTCTAACCCACAAGACAGTGGATCATCGTAAGGAGACGCAGTCTCATGGTAGCTGGTGACCAACGATTGGCTCATACGTCATTTGTTCCCGCAGGATCCTGCAGCCCATATGCACCATTGGTTTTGGATCCGGTTAAAGCGCCGGACATTCGCTTTTCGTCCTCTCATTTTCGTAAACAACACCCCTGGTGTGTGAGAAGGCAGTGAGTAGGACTTCCCTGGCACACGTGGTCATGCGAGAGCATTTCGAGAGGGAGAGCAGACTCTCCCCACTCTCGGCCATACCAGGGCATTTGCGGGCCATCTTATTTTGAGTAGTTAATGTGTTGTCTCTATACTTTTCAACTCTTACCTCAAGATACTAAAACCTATGGAGCAAGACGAGGTGCACTACCTTTAAAGTTGACCTTTTTGAATTTCTTCTTTCTCCTGTGCTAAGGCAGCGTCTCCAGAGATATTGATTGTCTGAAATAAACTCATTACTATCCCCTCACCATTACACAATTATCAGTACGACTTCATCCTTGGACCTTAAGTTTATTAATTTTAGTCTTACCACTCTCTAACTGATCTACCTGGCATAGTCGGATCTAAAGAAACGAGTGTTCTAGCTGATTTACAAAATTACTCTTAATTTCTGGAAGCACTGCTTTCGCGATTATGAATGGCATTTGACTGAAAAAGTGAGAAACTATAATTCATTTCAAAAATGAACTAACTGCTTATTTAAATTCACTTGGTAATTTCTGTTTGAATCTTCCCATTGATGTTTAGAACTGCAATTGATCAGTCTCTTATTGGGAACATCAACTCTGAGATGCAGGTACATTTAGCTGACAAGTCCCAAATAGGACGAAACGTGTGTCAAACAGGATTCCACTGCTAACCACTATCCATCATTGCTTACATATGATAAGTAGTTACTTTGTAAAATATCGATCAATTATCTCAAACTTAACTACTTCATTTGCAAATATCATTCCATCGTCTCAGATTTCATTATCCATACATTTTCATACCAATTACTTTCTATTCCCAGTTCTTTCCTTCTCAATCTTCTACTGAAATACATTCAATGCTTGATCATCGTTCTATACTACTTATATGGATATAAGTAGCTCACACTATAGTATATCACTTACATTTTAACTAAATCGGTTATTACTCATTATTTGAATTGTTCAATTGTTAAATATTTAGTTTATTCTATTTTGTTTGTTTGTTTATTTCTTAGAATCATTTCGATGATCCAACTTTCATTTTATTACGTTTTACACGTCATCCAGAATTAATTGAAATTGGTCGACAATTTATATTAACATGGAATGGAAATTTAAAAACAATTGGTTATGCTATTGAATTAATTGATCCATTAAAACATCAATATAATCTTTCATGGAATACTCTTTCTAATAATAATACAACTACTAGTACTACTCTTAATAGTACTATCAATGTTCAAGATTCCAATAATATTCATGATAATTCAATAATCGATCCTATTGATTGGATTAATCTGAAACAAAATTCTAGATCATTTCAAGAGAATAATCATTATGATTGGTCTAATTTACAAATGTCATTTATAAATCAAACCATTTCAATGAATCATTCTTCATTATATCCTTATCATAATGACAAAATGTTGAATAATTATACATTTGGATCTATAGATGATTTACATAAATCATCTAATCTATTATTATCTTCATCATTACCATCGTCAAATATAGAATTTTGTAAGATGTTAGCAACAACAACAACAACATCATCAACAAGAACAACAGACTCTTTAATTTCTGTAAATCATTTAACAAGTTTATCAGAATTAGTACCAAGTCATGATATTGATATCGATGATAACATTCATACTACTACTAATAATCATAATAATAATAATTCAATGATTGTAAATAATTCAACAGATATTGATAATTCTACACAATCTATCATGGATATTAATAATGTTAAAGAGTCCTCTGAATCATCTATTAAACATCACAAATCATTAATATCTTCATCAGGAGGAGGTGGTGTCACAACATCCACACTATCATCATCATCATCATCATCTAATAACAATAAGAATAAGAATAAGAATAATAAACGACGTCATAGACGAAAACAGAAACGTTAATTCTTTGTAGATCCTCTTTCATTTATCTCTGTTTTATTTATAGCTGGGTTAATTAGTTAGTTAGTTCAGTTTCCTAATGATAAGACTGTTGTCTAACCAATCTACTACAATCATGTTTTATGAGTATATTGAGAAAGGTTAATTGTTGTTAAATTGAACATGTAACATGTAAATGGGTTGTTGTTTTGTTTGTTTTTTGTTTTTGTTTTGTTTTTTATTATTTGCATATTATACATGCATAAATAGTAGTTCATCATTCATTATTATTAATCTTCAATGTTCAATTATGTTTTACATATTTCCTTTATCTAATAAGTAATTAAATTAGTGAAAGTAATTCAATTTTTTTATGTCCATTTTGTGTGTGTGTGTGTTTGTAACTAGAATGGTGCTGTTTCATTGTATTATCGATCTATACATCATTACATATGATGTAATTTGGTCTGTTTTTGTGTGTATGTGTGTATTCTTTTTTTTTTCAATTTACTCCATATTAGCACAGAGATTCGACTATCGATCTCTGTTCTAATATGGCATGGTAACTCGAACTGATGTACGTACGTACAAAGTTCCACGTTGTTACTGACTGACTGTATGTGTGTGTATTTGTTTTCTTTTTTTTCAATTTACTCTTACACTTAATAATCATTACATGCTCAAAATAAAATTTATCCATGCTTACTACTACGACTAATTACTAGAGGGGAGAGGATTTCTCTTTCTCACTTTTTTTTATCTTTTAGAAACAATCAACTAATAGAATGATTATTCAGTCAAACTATTTCAATCACGATGATATAAGTAGTGTTGTTATTGTTGTTGTTTTCATTTCTCATCTGACTTTATCTCATGAATACCGGATGATATATATGTGTATGTATGTATGTGTGTGAGTGTTTCTCCTTACAATCAAACAAAATTAGTCATATTCACTAAGGAAATAGTTGATGAGTTAGTTAGCATATTTAGACTTACTTACTGATTGACTTATTCCTTTTACCGCCCCCCCACCCACCCCGATGGAACATAGACCCCTAACCAGTATATTTAAACTATTCCCTATCAAATAGTTGTATACTTATTTATTGTTGTAAATTATTAGATTCTCTTTTTTTTTCTTTCTTTCTTTCTTTCGTTTCTCAAGTCTACCATAACTTTCATTGTGAAATTTTATTCTCCTAATATCACATTGTTATCACTATTATTATGAATAAATGAAATTTTGTTTAAATTTCATTTATTATTATTTTTGTTTTTGTTTTATTTATATAAATATAAATAGAAACAAATAAATTCACTTATTCATTTGATGATGATGCCTTGACTACATGTACGAATTTACAAGAAGAACAAATTTGTGAAGGGGGTAGGATTTGTTTATTGATCTGTTTGTCTGTTTCTCTTTTTGTTCTTAACTGATCCTGTTGTTATATTTATCAATCAATCTATCATGATTATTGTTATGTGTATCTAGGTGTTATTGTTGCTCATATCTGTTAGGATTATCGAGAGGTAAATAATAGTGAGGTTAGATGCAAAGTATTAAGGAATGATGGTAAATCAGTTGATAAGGTTATGAATCTTCATTGACTGAAATGGTTAGGTCACGTTTTGCGTATACTTGAACATCGATTACCACGAAGCGCAATGTAGAGTAGTGTTGGAGATAGTTGGAAGAAAGTTAGGAGCGGCCAAACCAAAATGTAGTATCAGTGCTTGAAGTCTTAGCCATGTTGGTAAATGGAGACTACTTGGTTGGGGTCACCGTGACTATCGTAACCAATAATTGAAGACTGTATGTGACAAGGCTCAAAATCGATCACAATGGCGTAGGTGTATATACACACTCTCTGTTTTCCCTTAAAGTAAAAGATTAAAGTCGCTTTAACTCTTTCTTTCTACGAACTAATTCTTTCTCCCTGAATTATATTATATCCTTATATACAATCTTTCTTTTATACATTACCACTGAGGTGACTGCTTCTATGAATTTGGTGTTCCTCTTGTTGTGTGCTAACCAGGTGTGGAAACTTGAACCGATGCGTATGTATGTGCCTGGTCCTACATTGTAACTGGCTGACTAGTTGTTGTTTACTGCTAATTCTGTCATTCCTAAGGTTTGAGTATAGTATATGAATTTCCAGTAGTGATTCTAGAAATAGTCACTACGAATCTCTGTTTCTTGTTGATTAACCGGCCAGAAAACAATTATTGTAGATGAATAGTTTTTTTGGAAATATAATGTTATATAAGGTACGCAAGTTTTACATAAATATTAAATCTATTGAAGTCTTTTACAGTTTCCTGTGTTACATTTTTCAAAAGACAAAATTATATAAATCCGACTATATGGCTACAATACATTCATCTTTTTGAACTTGTTTAAAGGTGCAAGGAGTTGTTTTCATTCTCACATTAATCTTCGTCATGGTTAGGCTGGGCGACCAATTTTCTTTAGAATTTCAAGTGTTTCAAAACATTATACAAAGGTACTGGTACTCATTCTGAGTTATGCAATAAAAGTTATTCATTTTTTGGATTTCCCACAGGTTTTCTCTGTGTTGATTGTCACTCTCCTAATCAAGCCGTTCTCGATATATTTGCACTTAAAGTTTCACTACTCAAATATATATATAAGTAGTTAAACTTATATTCCTAAAATGACGTTGACCAGGAAATTCTATTGTCTACACAATAAATAGTATTTATTGTGTAAGGTCAATCATTTACTTGCAAATATTCGTTATATTTGTGTGTAGTTTGCGCAATTCCATAACTTGATATTATTTCTGTAATCCAGTTAGTGAAATTAGAAATGATGTCCACGTTTCTGTACTGCTTCAATATCTGCAGTTAGAAATCCTAGAAGAGAGCTAAACATGGAAATATTTTTTCTAACTTTAATGAAATTGAAATAGTCGTCAGTGTTTGTAGTTAGTCCAAAAAGATTTCATCTTCAATTAAGTGGATTGTTTTCCTGAGGAAACCTCATGAAAACAATATGTAAGTGTGTACTATCCGGCTGAAATCAGTCGTCAAGATGTACTGGACCTATATGTCGTATTACAATGTACTTGTCACCAAAGAGTATCTACAATTTTAAGAGGCAATTCGTTGCTCATCGTGTAACTCTAGTTACTCAGAGTTATTTAATTCTCAACTGACCTTAATTCGATATTTATCGGGATAAGTAGCTTTACAGTCAGTAAAATGCTCCTTAAGATCCTTACCTAATGATCGAGTAATGCGTGAAACCTACAAATCAAAAGATGGGATTTGTCTGGGATACGATACTTTTAGAGGGAAATAACATGACACAAATTTTGAAAACCTCGAAATATGACGTATCGGACTTTTGATAACTCCATCAAAAGGAAATTACGTCTTTTAAGTAATTGGGTTACAATTAAATTACAATGCATGCTATTAGTTGGAGGAAAATATACTCCTGCATGATATGAGTTGTGTCTGCAGGGTCGTGGATGGGCACTGCTGAGGAGTCCTTTACTGGGACGAAACAGCCGTCCACTGCTTCCAGGTTTTCAATGGTGGTCTGATCTTGATCGATTCATTAATTCAAACAAAGATGATATCTATTCTATGGACATGAATATAAAACCTAAATCTTTTAAAGCACAAATAACCTCAGTTGAATAGAACACTTCACATGAAATTTATTATAGGGGTGACGGAGTTACTGATTTCTTAAAGAGCAGAATTCCCAATCCTCTAAAAAGAACATTCTTCGCAACACTTTTTCCAACCGATCAATAATCTTAAGTATAAATTATCTTATCTGACCAACTCTATGTTTGTTTATCAATTACCTGCTGATATGAAGCCAGGTATATAGGTCGTTAGATGCGTACTTTATTTAAAAGAATTCAAGAACATTGCCTAGCGTGGCTAAAAAGAGTTGAGAACGGCTCATCAGTCGAACATCTTGTGAACACAGGTCATTCAATCAAAGAGGACTCTAAGTCATTTAAAAGGTCAGTAGAATGCTGCCAAAGGAAGTTATATTGCACCTTCTTAAAATTGCCGAAGCAATAGATATGCATCTGGATAATTCAAAAGAAATTGGTACAACCTCTTCTTCTATCATGGCGTTAATCTCTCGTAATTTACTTTCCTCTTCATAATTTTCTACCTTTATAGCCATCTGCTTCCCTTCTATCTTCTCTATAGACCTTTTACCTTCAACTGGTTTTTTCTTCTGTTTCTCTAATCCTCCTGATTATAATTTATCTCAATTTCACTATTTTATCTTGTCATGCTGAGTTTTCCTTTCTCAATCATAGTCCCCCTATCTATCTTTATGATATACATTCAATCTCTCAATAATAAAACTATTATTAGTTTGTAGTGGCTGTGCTTCGTTAACCAATCACCCTCATAACCGTTATCATATAATCCTCAACGGTGTTTGAAATCAGAAGGTAAAGAGAAGCAGCGATTACAGTTTTATTTGCAGATAACTCAGACTACAAAGCAGAGAGGTGAATGAGTCAATCAGTGAGTCGAGTGTGTATATCGGATTAAATGTACATGTACATATATAGGGAAATGAATGGATCATCGAATCAATTAAGCAGCTAATAATAAAGCTAGTAGAATGAATATATGAGTAGGCGGTAAACAATGTTCAAGCATACATATTTCATACAAGCACAACAATAATAAAGGAACAATAATTTGTTATAGTACGTATGACTCTGTCCGCTAAGTAAGTTAACAAAAAGGCTTAAACGAATTAAATGTGAACAAACTCAGTTGCACGTGGGATGCTATAAGTTTCCTGAATAAATTTATTTATTTTAACATATAGATATTGGTACAAGAAGGCACCAAATATAAATGCTCCACACAAATCTCATTTGATTTGTGTGAGGGCTGTGATACTGCCCGAGTGCCCAAACCGAAGCAGGTGGTTTTCTTAGGGGGCCATACCCGGAGCCTTCGACCTGAAGGTCTGATCCACAAGGCAGTGAAGCATCGTAAGGAGATGCAGTCCCATGGTAGCCGGTGACCAACAATAGGTTCATACACTATTTGTTCCTTCAGGATACTGATGCCAATGTGCACCATTGGTTTGGGATCCGGTTAAAGTGCCGGACATTCGCTTTTCGTCCTCTCATTTTCGTAGACAACACTCGTGGTGTGAGAAGGCAGTGAGTAGGACTTCCCTGACAGAGGCTATATGTGCGTGGCCATATGAGAGCATTTGGAGAGAGAGAGCGGACTCTCCCCACTCTCATCCGTACCATGGCATTTGGGGGCCTTTGCTTATTCTACCCCACTGTTACCATGCTTAACAAAATCCCTATTATCACTA